ACCCGTCCATAACATACCCGACGCGCCGACTAAGAGGTATTTTTTTTACAAAAAAATAACTCAAAAATTCTTCTAAGTTCCTAATTCCATTTCCTGAAGAACACGTGCTTTTCGTTTTACCGTACACAAAGCATTTGGTTCGCAAAGCATGAAACACGACTTACAGTTTGATGGCAACTTCCATCATACTGAATAACTCTCCTAAACAGCTAGGAGCGAAAATTACAGCAGGCCTGTTGATATGGTGATTGGGTTACCCTTCTTGAAATGTTTAAACATTCACGCTGGTAGAGTCACACTTTAAAGGAAGGTGAAAGTCAATGGGTACGAATATGTTCAAAACAATCATTTCAGAAATCGGAGATTTTCTTTCGGTAATAATGCTAGTTATGTTTCCAGCTTCAACCGACCAGATTGAAAGAAACTGAATTCAGTAACATTTTTCTGTAAGAGTAAAGAAATATAAGCAACACCATTTCTCTGCAAGTTGCTTGGTAAACTTGGAGACTCGGGTCAGTCTCCAGAGTGACCCACATGCAAACAACAAACCAACGGACCAAGCAATGCGATTAAATCCTCGTTGACACTGGCAACAAAATTTATTGATGCAAATAAAAAGTTCATAGTAATAAAACACAGAACATGTTCTAACCTCTCGCGTTGCGTTCAAAAGAGGTGAACTGAACGAAAGTTACATATAGAGACGCTTACGAGAACTCAGAAACCGTGTCAAATAGTGCGACGTGAAATTCATGTTTTAAAAATATGGAGGATAGCTTGAAAAACTGCTGGTAATTTTTTTTGAAAACAGTCACCAAGGATAAACCGCTACAATTTTAAAGTCACTTGCTTGAATTGGTTACTATAGTGTTTGTGATCAACGTTGTGATTGGTGGATTTAGTCGAAAGGACTTAAAATGATTGGCTCATGTAACTGTCCGACTACAGGTGTCCGATCACAGCCAAATGCCTTACAACTTTGCAGATTAATTAGTGCAAAATGCAGTAGTTTACGCACCAATCACATCTGAGGAAATTGAAATTGTAATTAACCGCATTATAAATCTGTTTTACGAAATCAAAATGAACATACTGATTAGTTACTAATGAAACTCTGATTGGCTACGCTACTCATCATCTATTCTGCAATAGATACTGAGTAGCGTAGCAGTGTACCCTTGTTAACAAAATGACGACCGCTTCTTGGCTTTTTCGAAGTGACTGTAAAAAGGATTTAGATAAAGTTTACCCCAAAACAATTAGATTATTCGCTCTCGATTTCTACGAGCGATTGTTGACTCGGGCTGTGACCTCGTCAACTATCACGCGTTATAGTTCGCCACTAAATATTCTCCGATTCTTATTGGCTTAAATTCACGTGACGCGATAGTGTTCATCCACGGAGAGACACTGTCAGCCCATGGTGCCCGTCCGATGAAAATACCCGGATGGATAGTACTCGTCCGTGAAAGTTTTTCTGTAAACAAACGCGGTTATGGAAAGTAAACATTTGAAATTTTAGTAAGTCGTTTTTGTCTATTTTCTTTTTCAAATTTTACATTTGGCTGTCACGGCTTTCATTTAAAAAAGATGAAAATATTTCAAGATGATTTTTAAACTGGCGCGCGGAAGAAAATTTAGTGGTGAACAATAAAGACAGTAGGGTGTTTATGTCTCGGAACTATCGGTCTGATAGTTGCCCCTTGGAAATTTGATGTTCTTAAAACTGGTATATTTGTTTTAAGAACATCAAATTTCTGCGGGGCAACTATCAGCCGATAGTTCCTCGACAGAAACACTCTATTGTTTAAATGGAAATCTCGAGCTCATAATCTAATTGTTTGATATAACAGGAGACATTTACATATCTTTAGGAAGAGTAACAATGCCGAGATATTCAATTGATTTTAATCACTTTATGCTTTGTCTCGCAGACTCTGCAGTGTTTGTTCGTCTCTCTGGTTCGTCTAATGTAAACATTGGCAGAAAGCAAGTCCACAGCGAACAATTGAATCTGAGCTTCTGCTCAGGTTGTCGTAATTCCAGTCACCAACAACAGTGCTCTTTAGGACTGGTCAGTGCTCTGACAAATAACTAACACTCGAAATGATGCTACGGAGGTTAATTTACCTTTATGAATGTCCAATTCAGTGATAAACAGCTAATTAGCTAACTGTTCAGAACTAACCCGGTTCGGATGATCTAACTAGACGACCTAATGATACCTCTGGGCTCGAAGGATTGACAAAGTCCACAGTAATACTATGTTTTTCTTTATCTCCGATTTCTACCATTACGTTGCTAATTACGGCTCTAATAAACTTGAATTCGTGCTACTGATATTTCCATTTCTCCTTTAATTTAAGGTTGGTAGACGCGAATAACTCCAGTAATATTCTGCCGGCATACTGGGCAAATTCCTTGATCCTCTTTAAGAGTGTCAGCACACGTAGAGCAAACGCACAAATGGTGGCATGGAACCAACAGTGTGTCCCTGGCACTGTCCATACACACCACACACTCATTCTGAGGATCTGCTGAAATCAGAAAAAATGCACAGTATTGAAATTAATTTCACACTGACTGTAGTATACTTGTATGGACATACATATGTTATTGAACTAAGGGGAAAATATTGGTCGTTTTCTGCAAGTTTATGGGCCGAGCAGCTGGCGAGGTCCAAAACTTTGCAAAAAAAGCGAGACCAACATTTCCCATTTTAAAATTTTGCTGATAAACTAATGCATCCCCGAGATCCATTCTCGGAAAACGGGCGCGCAAAAATTAAGCACTGATTTGCGTTTTCGCGTTTTCAATTTGTGTCCGCAAATGTTACTTCGTCTGCTACATATGACTGCAAAGATTTAATAAAGCAATTCGCAGAAACCAAATCGTGAGCGGTCCATCGTAGCAGTCGGTATAGCAAAGTTCGGACTTGCCAGGGAACCGATCTGAGAACTCTCCTTTTCGCCTTGACCAGTTTGCCATTTAATAAGTACATCTCATTAACCATGCGAGGGCCGTAGTGGTAGAATATCCTCATCGCTAATCCGCAGGCTGCTCTCTTAATCCAAGAAGGTGCTCTAGGTGCTTACTTACTCAGAAAGTTTGGTTCGCTTGCCCCTTGCCTAGTTCCTAGGCCTCAACATTTCGCCAAGGTCAATCGTTAAAGGGGCAGTCTCAGACCAAGATTTAGTTTTACGTGAAATTCCAATGAAGGTGTTGGTATTAATTGGATATCAACAAGTGGTTGCCTAATCTTGCTAAAATGTACCGTACTAGTCACGAAAGTTGTTTACAACTGTTGTGGCTACGGACGAGTAGGAAAGAAGTGGTCTAAAACTTGAAAACGTTGGACCGACGATTTAAGTTTGACAATGTTACTTGGAGGAAAATCACTAAAAATCATTGATCTCGTAGAGATTGAATTTATGCCTTTTTTGTCTTTTTAAGGTTATTTTGTTGATCAGTGAAAACACCTTTATAATTCTAGCATAGTTTGCACAAAAACTTTGAAGAACTCTCGTGATACTGCCCCTTTAAGGCATAGAGTAACTAGGCAAGCTTGCCTCCTAAATTATTGTCTTGATATATATTAAAATTCTCTCACTTTCAGAACTTAGATAAAGATGGTTCAAAACAGTTTCCAGCACTTTCCAAGACATAGATTTCAATGGATCATTATAACCACTCTTTATCAGTTGAAGCTGCAATCATGGTATCAAAGCACTGCCCAATCATTGGTGAACAAATTGTTATCATTTTCTTGACACTATATGTTACCATAGCAACAGTATTACCTGCTAAAAATACCCTTAATTTTAGCTTTAAGCACTTATATTTCAAAAACGGTGTGGTGAAACCCTTTTTATTATCAAAAGTTTGATAAGCAGGATGACATGCAACTTCTGGCAAATTTCAAAAAAATTCTGTACATCTAACATGGGGATCATAGCCATCTTAAATTTTTGGGCTCTGAAACCCATGAGCAGATTTTTGTTAAAACTTTGCAAAGGTTTAAAAATAATGACCCATCAAAAGTGTTGGAAACTGTTTTGAGCCACCTTTAAAGAGATGTACCGGAGAACATTCAATGACCCATGCCACAGAAATCTACCCTGTGAATAAAGTTGCCTCTAGTCATTCCTGTCTTGGTTTGGCACATCACCCGGGAACAACAGGAGGCAGCTGTATTTGCAAACCCTATACCTTCAGCTGCTGGTTGTTCTGGAGGAGGTACTGCTGCTCCATTTCCTACACTACCACCCTGCTGGCCAATGTATGAACCAGTCCCTCCATGCCCAAGGCTTGGCAGCTGCACATGAGCAGCATGGCCATCTTGTAACATAGTTCTAAGCCTATTCCTCTGAGCTGGGAATTAGAAATATCAAGTCAAATTCTAATGAGTACAGAATGTTGCACCTTTAGTGAGACATCCATCATCATTTTTGTGGGGGGTGGGGGAGTTTATTGCTTTCAGAACTTTACAGTATAATTTTTGGTAATCTCAACTGCTTGTATTGAGGCAATGTGCCTACCTCTCTTTCTTGATTCAACTTGTGCATGGCTGAGAACAAGAGGTGTATTTCCAGAGCGAAAGAAGAGTGTTTTACCCATTCCCTCTAACAGTTGTCGCACTAGAAACAGTTAGGAATGGGTATCAGCTATTAGGTATATGTACATGTATAAACTATAAGTTAAAAGTATGACCCTCAGGTTTACATATTAAATTATTCCTTTCTTCAAAATAACTACCGTAATTATTTGAGTCTCCTTTGTTAAAAGAAGCAACTTGGAAAAAATTAATTTCACTTAATAGGTTGCCATTCCATATAAGTTATTCCAGTGGAAACAAAATTAAGACGACTATCAGTGTTAATATCTAATGTCTCACCTTTTTGTATAGAATTTTGAGTAGTTTGCCTCACCAATGTGATCTCAACTTCAGGAATTCCATAAACTGGATAAAGAAATCTAATACCAAGACACCGCTATCCAAGGAATATTAAAATCATCAGACTACAAAACACATATACATGTAGGCAAGGCAAAGTCTGCATATGAGCGAAGCAGCCAATAAGGCCAGAGCTTATCCTGGTTTCTGTACCCTGAAGTGACTAGGAGTATTTCTACTGCCATCAGCTGGATGGTATGCTAGTCCATCGCAGGGTTACCCCCAGCATTAAGTTTGCTGGTACCCATTTATACACCTGGGTGGAGAGAGGCACTGCAAGAGCAAAGTCAGTCTTGCCCAAGGAAACAACACAATGTCTCCAGCCAGAGCTCGAACCCGGACCGCTCAATCCAGAGACAAGCACACTAACCATGATCACGAGGCCACTGCACCTCCCTTATAAAACACATATAAATTACCTTAATTGGTTAATGAAGTGAATTCCTTTGGAAATTAAACCAGATGCTAATTACTTCAGTTATTAAATATTAATAATTCAAATACTACATTGTACTTTACATAATTAAATGTTATCAACAGGGTATTTGGGGCTTTTAGTGAGTTGCCTGAAGTTTGCCAGTTGCCTGAAGGTTGTCTGACTGTTGAGTGCTGACAGCCATTGGCTGTCTGACAGATCGCTAATATAGTGGTAACATGTTGGTAATTTGTTGGTAGATTATCAGCCTCATAATGGTCAAAATTTAATGTCCAGGAACTTTTCTTCATGAATACTGGCAATGGGACTTTGGTGAAGAATAAGCCATCTCTTAATGATACTCACTGAAATTCACATTCTGTCTGGTTATTTTTAGGGAAAGGAATGGCTTTCTTTGGTGGGGCAATTAAGTGAGGATGGGTTAATACTTACTATCATCACAATGCTTACCTCAGGATAACCTGCCTTGGATGCAATCTCACTGACATCAAGTTGAATTGTATTACTGGAAATAATAGCTTCTTGTGAACATATTCTTGATACACCTTTAATAAATATTTGTAAGCACAACTACACTCATTAGAAGAATAATTACAGTACAAGATCATTGTTGTTTTGATGTATTTATAATATAACTATCATGTAGAGAATAACAGTGATGAGTTGAGATATGAATATATAGGTGATGTGGAAGTCTTTGGGTTATAATGTGAATTCCACTGTTAAAAGGGTGATACATAATTGAAGGGATGAGTCCAAAACCATGCTAAGTGACAATTTGGGTGAAAAAAAAATTTTCTCAAAAGAGCCTGAATTTTTGCACATGGTCTTCAATGTAAGAGAAAAAACATGGTCCTGTATTTTTGTTGCTGGTTTTTGCTTTGTTTGCGAGTTAAAACGTATGCAAAAAAACTTGCCTTTTCCTTGCCATGTTGTTAGGAGTTTATTCGTTGAACAGCAAACAGGCAGACTGTTTATAGTGTATGAAGTCAAAATCAAATCCCACAGCATATAGAGTGGAAATCTGGGAA